GAGGAAATTTAGGTAGGACATTAGGAAGAACTTCCTGAACAATCTATTCTGTAGCCTGTGCGAGGAAAGGAGCAAACCTGCGGGCTGATCTCAAGGTGGAATTTGTCAATTCTACACTGACCTCTGCCTCCAGGTTTCTTTCACTGAAAGTCACTGTAAAATGACATTTTATGGACAAGGTCCTAGGAGGAAAATGGAGTGACCCTGCATAGAAGACACCTCTCCCCTCCAAAAACAGAAGTTGCCTTTAATAGAAATAATTTTGCATACCTGTCTGTTTTGAACCAATGTCTTCTGTCTGATTTGGTAGTATAGAAGCATATCAAGGCAACATACTTTTTGTTGTCCATAGCCTTTGGGGCAACAAAGTAAAAGAAACAAGAAAGGACTAACAACATATCTGGGAGCTAAAGTGAGGAAGATGGAGGTGTACCAGATGCAAATACAAAGGGAAAAACAGATTGTTTGCATATACTGTTCCTGTTTAATAGGCATCTCCAGCTCCTGAGGTGACTTGGCTAAAGGATGGGCTTTCTTTACCCAGAAAGGCCATAACAACCACCAAACGGGGCCACACTCAACTGGTGATTCCAGCAGCTGAATTTTCAGACAGTGGGATCTACTCCATTTTGCTCCAAAATGAGTTGGGGAAATGAGAATCGTTCAGCTTCCAGATCCAAGTCACAGGTAACCTGTAGAACAGATGCTAAGGGAGAAGGTATTAAATAAAACAAACACTGCAAGTTTTGGTGGAGTTAAGAACTACAGTCAAGGAAGAAGACTACAATCTTCCATGAAACTTCAGTCCACGGGATCATCTAGGGCAGACCTATGGATTATTGAAGGAGATTGATTAAATTATAGGCTGTTATCTGACCCATAGCACCCATGTAGGCGAAGCCATGTTCCATGAGAGGGTCAGGTAATAGACCCTGTTGTCCTACCCATGCGCTGTGAACGTCAGTCAATAATAGAACAAGATAGCAATGTCCAATCATAATTATTATAGCACTATTAATTACACCCTTAACATTGATAATAAACACAGCTGTACCAATGCTCATAATCTACCTTTATCCATAAGAAGAGAGAGTCTTAATATTGGTGTGTTACCCAACATCAATGTAGTTAATGGCAAATTTTCCTTTGTTAGGTGGTGTGGCCTGCATATTTAGGAAAAGATCAGAATTACTTCCCTTCTAATGAAGTTTATCTAGCCACAGTTTTTAGACTGTCTGCCCCTAATAATTTTGATGAGATTACAGAATTGTTATAATAACTCAACTGTACCTTTTTCCTCTACTCCTCTGACAATATTTGATTTCATCTTACAGATATCCCAGAGTCGCCTGGTCCTATTCAGTTACAAGAGAATGTCCCCAATACAGTTACAATAACATGGGAGCCCTCACCAACTGAGAAGCGGGAAAGTAACCTCTACTATACGGTCATAAAATGTGACTCCAGAAATGGCCGCTGGCAAGTGGTGGGTGACCTGATCTACACTAACAAGTTTACCCTCACCAAAGTCATCCCAGGCTTGAAGTATTACTTCAGGGTTGTGGCAAAAAATTACATGGGATCCAGTGATCCACCTGAAACTGTGCAGCCCTGGAGCATTCAAAAGGAAAAAGGTAAAAAGGGTTTAAAAATGTTATCAGTGCACTTTTGTGAATGGATCCCAATATACACAATACCATTGTGTCCCAATCCTTTATGTATGCAGTCTCTCAGGAGGAGAGTACATTGAAATACCCTAAGAAAATTGTATTGACTAAGGAGGTCTATCTCCTGCTGGACTGGCACGATTACAGATCAGCTAGGCTTCTTCATTCCCACCTTACCACCAACCTATATCACTCATATGATAAAAGTTTCTAAGAGAAATAATTTCCAGAAAACTCTGAGATTTAAAATCTGCAGAAACCAAGGACTCAGCGTGAATGATGAGGGCCTGGAAAATCTTAAGAAGAAATTATGGAATCCAGCAGGACATTGGCAACTGAGATTGGCCGCTGATGGCAGCATCTGCGGGCTGTCGCTGCTCGCCACCTCATCCCCCCACTGCTGACATTGCCAGTGGTGTCTGCGGGCGGTCACCTATTGCCATTCAGCGCTTGCCACCCCCTTTGCCCACCACTGCCAATGCTGCTGGGGGCGTCTGTGGGCGGTCGCCGATCACCACTTGGTGTTTTCCACCCCCTGCCCCTGCCGCCAACACCGCCACAGCCGCCTGTGGGCAGTCTTCGCTCACTACTGCCACACCTCCAATGCGAACACTGCTGCCACCACCTGCGGGCAGTTGCCATGCCCTCCCTCCCCCACCTCGGGAGGCACGAGGCAGCAGGAGCTAGGTATCTTAGCCCATTTGATGGCCCATTTGACCTGTAGAAGCCCCAAACTTGGAAGTTTCATGTCAGTGTTATTTAATTGCTGTAAGTGGAGACTATTCCTTCACCCAGACTTTAAACTTACGGATCAGTCCCTGAGTAGGTTTTATGTCTCTTACAGCTGAATTCAGAGTTCGACTACCGAAGTACAGGGGTGTGAATCAAAATCAGCCTCCAAGATTCCTTGTGCAGCTGAAGCCCCATGTGGTAACCACTGGATTTGATTGTCGTACGAGCTGTGCAGTAACTGGCCACTCCAAGCCAAAGGTCACATGGTATAAAGATGGCAAAAACCTCTTGGAGGACCCCACTTTCTTCAGCAAAAATGACTTCGGTGTTTGCTGCCTGGTGATCTTAGGTGTCACAACAAAAGATGAAGGAGAATATGAGGTGCTGGCCACCAATGAATTGGGTTGTGCCATCAGCAAAACCTTCCTCGTTGTAAGAGGTAAAGACCCTGTAGTGGATGGTGTGGTGGCACAGTAGTGGGCACTACTACACAGAAACACCTGCCTCACTGTGCCAGGCCCAAAACCTCGCTTTGAGGGTCTCCTTTGGGGAAGAACCCCCACAAGCCTAGAACACTGCCACCACCCGGGCACTGGTTTCTGGCACGTCTCTGTGCAGCCCAGGGCACACAGACCCCTGCAAACCTTGGGGGTGCTTTGCCCACAGTAATATTTCTGGGTGCTTCTTTCAGCCCAAAGCATCCCTAGATAGCATCAGGAAGAACTGAGGGGGAAAAAGAAAAAGAAAATCTTTGCTGGCCGGGCAGGGGGTAGAAGGCTTTTCCCTCTCTCCATGCCCAGCAATTCAGGATGTAACTCTGGGGAGGGGGTTGGATAAGGAAGTCAGAATACACTTTGAGCAAACAAAAGCAACATGAGTCTTTACAGAGACTGTATCCAGTAACCCTTTTAAGATGCAACTTGCCTGTACATAATTCATAACTCCTGGCAGGTTTCCAGGTTTCTACTTACGGAAATCACCAGGCCGCTGCCTGGGGTACATGCTTGTAGTTTGCAGGTGCCTACCGGAAGGAAGGGAGAGCTCCTCCCTCCCCCTAGGAATTTTATTTGGCCAGGTTACCTGATTGACCAGCCTGATCCAAGAGGAGCAAGGAGGGAGAGGGGTCACCTGGGCTGACCCGAGTGAGAGGGAGGGGATTTCTTCAGAGATTGCTCCTGGCACACTTGACTTCAGTGCTCTATCCACTCATGTGCTATTGAGTTTGCGGGATGGAGCCACAGCTCATCTGGAGGGCACAAGGTGGGGCAGGGAGCGACTCCCACCACTGTGTGTGCCCCGGTAGGGACAGGGGAGCATGTACCCCCAGATCTGTGCGGGGTGCAGGTGGGGTGGGCTGTAGCTGCAGGCTGGGACTGAACTGGGCTTTTCCCAGGTGGGGGGGTTGGGTTGGGGATGCACTTGGGGTAGGCGGCAGCACTGGGAGAAGGATACGGGAAGTCTATGGCAAATTTAGCGGGGCCTGTAGCCCCCTCTCCCATAGCTTCCCCCCCCAGCACTGCTGCCGCCCACCCTGAATAGAGTCCAGTGCAGCCCTGGCCCCAGCCCACAGCTGCAGCCCACCCTGCCCTGCCCCACGCTGATCTGGGGGCACCCCGCCGTGCCCTCCTAGAGTGCATGCAGTGGTGGGAGCTGCACCCCCAGATGAGCTGTGGCTCTCTCCCATGCCTGCCCCGCTCCAGCTGGGAAGCACTTCTCTGCCGCAGCCCCACTCCTCCCTCGCCACAGGGGCCTTGATCCGCCCCCTCATGCCCCTTCCATCCCCCTTCCCCTTCCACCACAACAGATTTACCAGCTGCACACAACTGTATCAGAAACCGAATTGGTATTGGCCAATATGCCTCCTTAAAACTCGGCTATTGGTATCGGCCCCAAAAATATCAGTGCACCCCTAGCTATTAGTCCTTAGTATTATCTTAGCTGCACAGAGATCTTTACTCAATGCAGGCAGGAGGCAGTTCTTGTACAGCCTCAAAGCGTGGATCCTTCACATTTTGGCTGGGTGGCAGGGTGTCTTCTTGGCCTGCACACGCCTTGCTGGCAGATTTGCTTAGTTCTTATACCGTTTAATTGTATAGCTTCAAAGCATTTTTCTTTGACGGTTGGCCGATTAGTGTCCAAACAAACAGGGAGGGATATCATAATTGTTAATTGCCTGGCTCCAGTTCTTGGATCATTTAGGAGTGTGCGCAGCGGTGGGAAGCCAGCCCTCCCTCTGCCCCCCCGAGATGAGTTGCCTGCAGCTCCATCCTGCTCCCCACCCAGACCCTGCGGCTGCACATTCTGGCCCCGGGCCCCAAGCCCCACACACTGCCTCAGCTGGCAGCAGCCCCAGCCCAACCCTACCCAATTCATTCCCTCCCTCACTATGGGGCCTCAATCCCCACTCCCCTCCCTCCAGACTTACCTGCGGGACCTGTTCTTCAAACTGCCTGGCACCCATGTGCATATGTACGTGTGCACGTGCACATGGTGCCCCCTGCCTGACTGCCCTCCTCCCACTCCCCCCAGCCCCTCGTAGGCTGGAACTCTGTCATCCTGCAGAGAGCTCTTTGCAAAAGTGGAAAATCCATATGTTTCTCCATTAAAATGAAAAAAAATCCATGTTTGGAAAACTTCGTCCCCTGGTTCGCTGGGCGGAGGCTACATGAACAGGCCAATTAAAGTTTAAAGACTTAGTTTAATAAAGCATTCCTGGTCAGCGTCATACACGAATTCAGAATTTTGCCACGAGGTCTGACTCTGAACATAGGCAGTGAGAGGGGGTAATATAGAAAATGTGACGTCATAAGCATAGCAACAGTATAAACCAATCAACAATAGCCACGACGCAGACAAGTCTGCACATGTCTTCAACTTGTTACTGGAGAAAAAAACTAGTTTAAACGAGTCTGTAACAGCAAGGTCATGACCTGGCTACATGACTCACTCACAAACAAAATGGCAGACTGGAACCATTTTGTTTTTCCCCTTCAGATCACTGGGATTCCTTGGTGTAGGTGCGCTGGGCTCAGAGTATATCCAGCAGTTACTTTTATTTCCAGCTTGAGTCACCGTAAGGGAGATCAGCAAGTACACATTTTTCTCCCACCCCTCTTGGGTGATACTAAGACACCCAGGTGTGATGTATCAGGATATCAGTGC